AACTGGTTCACCTGACAGGTAACTGGTTTATCTGACAGGTAACAGATTCACCTGACAGGTAACCGGTTCACCTGACAGGTAACAGATTTATCTGACAGGTAACTGGTTCACCTGACAGGTAACTGATGATTTATCTGACAGGTGACTGGTTCACCTTACAGGCAACTGGTTCTCCTGACAGGTAACTGGTTTATCTGACAGGTAACTGGTTCACCTGACAGGTAACTGGTTCACCTGACAGGTAACTGGTTCACCTGACAGATGACTGATTTATCTGACTGGTAACTGATTCACCTGACAGGTAACTGGTTCACCTGACAGGTAACTGGTTCACCTGACAGGTAACTGGTTCACCTGACAGATAATTGGTTCACCTGACAGGTAACTGATTCACTTGACAGGTAACTGATTTATCTGACAGGTAACTGGTTCACCTGACAGGTAATTGGTTCACCTGACAGGTAACTGATTTATCTGACAGGTAACTGATTCACCTGACAGGTAACTGATTTATCTGACAGGTAAGTGAATTAAACATAATTTTCTGGTAGTGGACAGGTGTGTTTCTGTGTACGCAGGTATGATCATGTGAAACCAATGTCTAGAGGAAGAGGGGGAGGAGCTTCAGAGGATCTGGCAGGTGGAAGCAAAGGTGGAGTGAAGAAGACATTGGTCCTGAGAGACAAAGGTAACAGATCCACTGTGTCTTCAAACAGGTCTGATGAGGGACAGGTGAGTCTGTCAGGGTCTGATGTGGGACAGGTGAGTCTGTCAGGGTCTGATGTGGGACAGGTGAGTCTGTCAGAGTCTGATCAGGGACAGGTGAGTCTGTCAGGGTCTGATGTGGGACAAGTGAGTCTGTCGGGGTCTGATGTGGGACAGGTGAGTCTGTCAGGGTCTGATGTGGGACAGGTGAGTCTGTCAGGGTCTGATCAGGGACAGGTGAGTCTGTCAGGGTCTGATCAGGGACAGGTGAGTCTATCGGGGTCTGATGTGGGACAGGTGAGTCTGTCAGGGTCTGATGAGGGACAGGTGAGTCTGTCAGGATCTGATGTGGGACAGGTGAGTCTGTCAGGGTCTGATGTGGGACAGGTGAGTCTGTCAGGGTCTGATGAAGGACAGGTGAGTCTGTCAGGGTCTGATCAGGGACAAGTGAGTCTGTCAGGGTCTGATCAGGGACAGGTGAGTCTGTCAGGGTCTGATCAGGGACAAGTGAGTCTGTCAGGGTCTGATCAGGGACATGTGAGTCTGTCAGGGTCTGATGAAGAACAGGTGAGTCTGTCAGGGTCTGATGAAGGACAGGTGAGACAGGTGAGAACACAGTCATGTGACATGAATCATGTGACAGTACAGGCCACACCCTCTCTCTCCACACCTGTTGTCTCACAGCTCTTGGTAGTGATGCTGGGTTCAGGGGTCCAGCAGGTGGTCTTGGTCTGGACGTCCCAGCAGCGGCGGCTCCTCAGTCCTACGTGGACGCCATCAGAACCGGACTGGACGCTTCATCTTTGGAAGCAGGTGTGAGTTGAATGCAGTCGTCTGATTGGTTGGATGGTGTGATGTCATCAGTATTTTCCTGCTCTACCTGCAGAGTGTCTCCCAGTGGGCGGAGCTTACCAGGACCGGTCCCAGCTGTGTCCCTACGCTGCTGCTGGACACTGTTACTACGAGGACAGCTGCACGTACCTGCACGGTGACCTGTGTGAGGTGTGCAACCTTCAGGTGCTGCACCCGCACGACGGGGAGCAGAGGAGAGCGCACGAGAAGGTCAGCACCTGTGCAGGTATGTGTGTGAGTCCAGGGGGGGCGGAGCCTGACTCTGTGTCTCTGCAGGCGTGTCTGCTGGCGTTCGAGGCCGACATGGACAAGGCCTTCGCATTCCAGTTCAGCCAGGACAAGGTGGGTGTGTCCTCTCTGTTTCCAAGGTGACACCTGTCCTGACAGGTGCTGTGCTCCTCAGGTGTGCTCCATCTGCATGGAGCTGGTGGTCCAGAAGTCCAGCCCCTCAGAGAGAAGGTTCGGCATCCTGTCCTCCTGCTGCCACGTCTTCTGTCTCAGCTGCATCCGCCAGTGGCGTGGAACCAGAACCTTCTGCAACAAGATCATCAAGTAAGAGTCCAGGTCCACATGGACCAGGGTCCACGTGGACCAGAGTCCTCATGGACCAGAGTCCTCATGGACCAGAGTCCAGGCCCAAAATCTGTTACAGGTTAACAGAGTCTGAACATCAAAAACCTGAACCAGAACCTTCTGCAACAAGATCATCAAGTAAGAGTCCAGGTCCACATGGACCAGAGTCCACATGGACCAGAGTCCACATGGACCAGAGTCCACATGGACCAGAGTCCAGGCCCAAAACCTGTTACAGGTTATCAGAGTCTGAACATCAAAAACCTGAACCAGAACCTTCTGCAACAAGATCATCAAGTAAGAGTCCAGGTACACATGGACCAGAGTCCACATGGACCAGAGTCCACATGGACCAGAGTCCAGGCCCAAAACCTGTTACAGGTTAACAGAGTCTGAACATCAAAAAACTGAACCAGAACCTTCTGCAACAAGATCATCAAGTAAGAGTCCAGGTCCACATGGACCAGGTCCTCATGGACCAGAGTCCACATGGACCAGGGCCTCATGGACCAGAGTCCACATGGACCAGGGCCTCATGGACCAGAGTCCACATGGACCAGG